AACCTGGGGAACCATGGAGAAATCCATCACTATTGCTGGTTTGTAGCATTCTACCCAAACTGACATGTCTATCACCTGTTGACCCTGCAAGATGAAGCTACTAAATAAAAGCTTTAAAAGTTGAAACCCCTGCATGACTTATGAGTTTTATTTGGAAGTGTTCATTTTAGATCATTTAAAATTCATTGCACTAATTCTTAAAATGAAGTAAAAAATTGATAACTTTCGGATAAGCTGCCAAAATTTTCACTTGCTGCTAAATGAATTTTAGCAGTGAGGATCATCACAGCAGCAGGCCTCCAAGCATATTTGTAATGCTGAACTTTCCAAGAGTGCCACCAGAAGAGCTGTGCAAGTGACAGCTTAGGGCTGCTGAGAGTCCACATTGCATCTGAAGTCTAGCCGAAAGGCAGTCTCTTCCTCCCAGGGTACGAGCTGGGCCTCTGGACACAGACCTGGTTTTGAAGAGCCCACCACACATTAACTATGTGACGGTGGACAAGTGGCTTAACTTCTCTGAGCCTCAGTTTCCTTATCTGTGAATTGGAAATGATTTCATCATCTTTATGCTATTGCTAGAAGGATTTAAAAAGATAATGCGGGGAAAGTGCAGGCCAAACACTAGTCGTCAGTAAATGTCATCTGCCCTCGCTGGTGATGATGGAGGGGAGATGGTGGTAGTCATCACTGAAATTAGGATTACCTTGCCTGCTGATGTCGGGTCATTCTGACTGTTGTTTTCAATGAAGAAATGTGATTTGTAATTACTTTCACTAGTTCGTGCATCGAGAGGTCTTTTAATACCTTAGTCTTTGTCCTGAGAGCAGATGTGTCTGTGCTAAAGCAGTTGGTCATCTGGGGAGCTGCTTTCATTGCATCTGAGAAAAGACATATTCCCACCCCTAAAATACTTATTCCAATCCCCAGAGTCCAGGAGGCTGCTCCTAAGACTGCAGATTCAGCCACCAATTACCACAAGGTTGACTTTTCTGTTGCCAGAATACTGAGGAGTGCTTCACTTTCTTTTTCCTGACACTATAGTTCAGAATAATTTCTTGTTCATCAGGCTGAAGGTTTGCAGCTTCCAGAATGCTCCTTCTTTGAATATTACAGCCAGCAAAAACCTGGTAGCCTTGTCTGCCTTTGCAGCAAATAAGCTGAAGCTAATAAATATTCACTCAGATCAGTCCTGGCTCCCTGAAATGAATTTCTGAAGTCTTCCTGGCCCTGAGGAGAGGCAGGGCATTGACTCCAGAATGCTTGTTTAAATGGCTTTCTTTGGCATAAATCTAGCAGAAAATCAGGTACAAACCACCTGCTGTGCGTTCCCAGCAAAAGGGGAACCCATTGTTATCGGATCCCTTTCTTACCCATGTGCACCAGGTAAATAGACTGTATTGTCTCAGGTCCCCTGTCCCAGATGGGAGGAACTGTTCCCTAGGGTCTTGAATAATATATCTCATTCTCCTTTCAAAAAGAGCAAGACCCTCACTTTGAATAAGCCTGGTGTGTTTTGAGAATCCACAATTAGGCTGGAGAGTCCATCTCTTAATTAAACGTATGCATAGTTTTCTCTAGGTGATTTTTTTATTAAAACATTTTGCAGGGCCGGCCCGGTGGCGCACTGCTGCAGTGCGCCGCTTGGGAGGCGCGGCGGCGCTCCCGCCGAGGGTTCGGATCCCACATCCAGGCCGGCCGCTCACTGGCTGAGCGAGGAGCGGGGGCAACACCGAGGGTTGCAATCCCGTTGCCGGTCCTGGTCCGGTGCGGGCGCGACACTGAGGGTTGCAATCCGTTGCCGGTCACGAAAAAAAAAACAAAAAACCATTTTGCAGATCCTGAAGGTTTTTTATAATTTTCTCTCTTAAATAAAAACTATAACTTTTTTTTCTTTTTTCTCTGACCGGTAAGGGGGTTGCAACCCTCGGCACAGTGTGGTCCGCACCATGCTCAGCCAGTGAGCGCACCGGCCATCCCTATATAGGATCTGAACCCGTGGCCTCGGCGCTACCAGCACTGCACTCTCCCGAGTGATCCATGGGGCCGGCCCAACACCATAACTTTTAAATCTATGCAGATTCTTCCTCCTCTTCCGTTTCTTCATGGCCCTGTGTTTATGTCTTGGTCTGCTTATGTGTGATGTGAACAGGTAGGAAGGATAAACAGTGGAGAACTCCAGAAGGAACAGCTGTGGGCTTACAATGGAAGGAGAACTATATTAGTTCCAAGTGCAGACACTGACGTTACTCCTCCTAAAATTTAGTTTAGAATCATTGGCATCTCCCTGTCATGTTGGCAGTGATTTTGGTAGAACTAAAAGATGCAAAAAGTCATTCTTACTCCTCCTGCAACCTGTGAATAATCTTTAAATGCTGCATTTGTTAAGCCCTGGGCTAAACTGCTACACTGAGAAAGTAGTACGAACCTGACCTATCCTGCCAGATATGACCAGCTGCCCGACAGTAGTTTTCTTCAACAGAACCGATAATGCTGGGAATTAATTGCATATGTTTCTTGTGAGGTTTCCTTCAGAGTTATCTGAAGATAGCATGTCACATTTCCCCTGACAGATTGTTAACCCGTTGAATTAAAATTCTAATGCCTGAAGACTTTTAAAATTCCTCCCGTCCATTGGTTTAAGTGGGAGGCATTGGCTGAAAATTGACAACACCTTTCTGGAGAGCAGTTTAGCCAGAGTAGAAGGAGGGGGGCCCACTTGGGGCTTTTGCGGAAATCGGGAAGGAGATGGTACACGCAGCGGGGATGGGGAGAAGTGGCTGAGTTTGAGGTATGTTTTCCAGGCCAAATGAATGGATACTTGATCAGTCAGAGTTCTTCCATTATTTATGCTGGAGTTGGGTTAACTAAACCTCCACTCTCTCCAGGAGGAGCCCTGCAGAGGTTCAGAGCAGCTCCTCAGAATCATCTTAACCTTCTCTACTGTCCTAGAAGTTTTCAAACACAGTGAAATTTACACAAAACTAATTGTGAACAAGAAGAAGCCGGGGAGAACTGAATATACCTGTTCACAGCCCAACTTTTGATTTTCAGGGACTGTTTTCAGAAAGCCAAGTTTTGGTGTTTTCCTCAGAATAGAAACAACTCTGAAGATTTGGTGTTTTTCCTCAGAATAGAAACAGAATTCTGAAGTGTCCCAGGTCAAATGCAACACTTCTCCTGTATTTTTTTTTTTTTTCCTGACACCTTGATCTTGGACTCTCCTATCTTCTTAAAGGAGTCTGCCATCTGATTGCTCCTCACGCCCCCCTGGTGCTCCAAAATCAGTAACACACATGCAGGCCAAACAGCTGTGTCTCAGGTTTCTGTCTTGACCACAGGCCAACCCCAAAGGCAGGTTCCAAACACCTCAATGAGGTGTTTCAGTAGGCTCAGCTCTTGAACTCATATATTAAAGTCAACTTTTTAGCACTTATGGGACATACTAATGGCTTCCTCATTTAATCAGCAGTATCCTTGAACTATCTCCCAGCACTGTTTTGGGGGTAATTATCTTTGCCATACGTAATTTGTTCCAAATTCCTGAAATAGTGGGAAGGTATTGATTTGGTTTATCATGCAAACCTGCAAAACCAAAATGGTTTTGTTTAGAATTAGCCACATTCTAAAGTACCCTGTGTGTGACCAAGTGTGGCCAGAGGAGGACTAGACAGGGTTTATTCCAAACCATACCCACATTGTATCTTGGACTTCCAGCTTCCCCATTTGAAAAGTAGTAGTACCCTAGATCAGGTACTCTCAACCTGAGGAGCACTGCTAACAAAATAAACAAAAGAGGTAACAGGCTTTTGGGCCCACTGTAAACCCACTAATTTAGACACTCCAGGGGAGGGACCAAGGAATCTGTATATTAAAAAAAAAAAATCCCCCTAGGGGCTTCTGATGCCCAGCCAGGTTTGAGCACCTCCAGGTGAGACCACCTGTAAGAAGCCTCTACAGATAACCTTGGGCTTTGGAATGGCTCTGAACCATTGTCTCGTCCTCTGCAAAGTAAGATTGCTGATGGGATCAGCCATGTGGGCTTGTTCTAGAGATTGAATGAGAGTGCATGTGTTGTGCGGGGCCTCTTTTGGTGTTTGGCATGGAATCAACTCAGCAGCTGGACACTGCAGGTTTCCTCCACTCAGCAAAGACCTGCGGATTCCCACAATGGGCCAGGTACTGTGCCAGGACCTGGGGAGGAAGACAAGCCTCTTGCTCTCACTGAGCTTATGTTGCTGTGGGCAAGTCAGATAGTCAACAAAGAAATAATAGAGCTTCAGGCAGTACAGGTGTTATGAAAATTTTAAAGTTTGAAAGCATAAAGAGAATCAAGACAACAGGTATTGGGAATAATATTTTGATAGGATAACTGGGAAATGCCTCTCTGATAAAGTGACATTTGAGCTAAAGGAAGTGTGGGAGGAGCCATGTGAGGGTTAACAATCCAGGCAAACAGCACAGCAGGCACAAGGGTCCTGAGGCAGGATTGACTTTGGCACAATGAGTAATGCGAGAGAGCTGTGGTAGGAGTCAAGGTTAGAAAGGGGAGCAAGGTGCTCAGTTCATCAGGGCCTTGGGAGCAACAAATACCTCAGGGTGATTCCCCTCTATCTCTTCATTTAGTTTCCTTAAATCACCTGTAGATTGGTAAGAAATTTAAGCAGGACATTTAAGATACTTCTCAGCCCAGAGATCCTATTGTTCTGTAATCAGAATGTTTTAATTTTTTTCAAGTTTAATAAGGGTAACAGTAATTTCAATATCATTTCTTCTGGGCCGGCCCGTGGCTCACTCGGGAGAGTGTGGTGCTGATAACACCAAGGCCATGGGTTCGGATCCCATATAGGGATGGCCGGTTAGCTCACTGGGTGAGCGTGGTGCTGACAACACCAAGTCAAGGGTTAAGATCCCCTTACCGGTCATCTTTTAAAATATATATATATATATCATTTCTTTAAGTCCAAAATTCTGCTGATGATTTTTATCTCTTTTCTTCCCAGCTTGATATATGGTCCAAATCCAACTATCAAGTATTCCAGAAGGTAAGTTTTACATTTTGCTTCTCACTCAAGAGACATTCAGAAAACATGAATGCTTTGAGGTATAAACATTGGTTTCAAATCAGAGGCTTTTTAAAAAGTGTAAAAAGTCAGATCTAAAAGGCTGCTCAGTGTATGATTCCGTTTATAGGACATTCTGGAAAAAACAAAACCTTAGGGACAAAAATCAGATTGGTGGTTATCAGGAGATGGGAGCAGGGGATTGACCCCAGAGGGGCACAAGAGAACATGTTGAGGTGGTGGAAATATCCTGTAGTAGGTTGAATTATGTCCCCCTAAAACACTGAAGCTTGAATTATGTCCCTCACATTTTATGTATTAGCTCCCACTGTGACTGTTAAGAGGGTGGGAAATCCTACTATGGTAACTGAAAGGTGGGGCCTTGAAGAGGTGATTGGATTGTAGGACCATGCAGTAGTGAATGGATTACAAATGGTGGTCAGGGGCATGGTTCTGAGAGCTTTAAAAGAAGAGGAGAGTCTGTCTCTCTCTCTGCTCTCTCTACTTCTGCCATCTTGCAATGTGAGACCCCCTGGGTCACTGTTGCCACCACCAGATGGACTTTGGATTTCCCAGCCTCAGAAACTGTAAGCAATAAATTTCGTTTTCTTTATAACTTACCCAGTTCCAAGTATTTTGTTATAAGCAACAGAAGCGGACCAATACATATTCTGTGTCTTAATTGTGGTGGTGATTACACAACGGTACACATTTGTCAAAACTCATAGAACTATGTACCTACAAAAGATGAATTTTACTATACTTAAAAAAGAATTCTGAGTTGTTCCAAGCTCAGCACAGTTTTGAAACTCAGTTTCTCAGAGCCCTAGTGGTCTGCACAGGTGCCCGAGGGATGGGCTGAGGGAGGCAGCTGGCCCTGCCCCCACCTTGCCCTGCTCCCACCTCTACCTCCACTTGACGCCTGGTGGTATCGTTTTCAGATATTGGGCTTCCTTTTGAAAAACTGTATGGGAAATGCTAGAAAAAATGAAAAGTAGCTAGAGAAAATCCATGCGTGCTGATGGTGAAGCGTCCCTTCCCTGGACCAACTCAGTCCCTGTGGCTGATGGGCGTCTCGCTGCCAGCCCCCACAGCACTCAGGGCCAGCTCCCGGCAGGGCCACAACCAGTTTCTTCTGTTCTCGTCCATCTTCTGTCTCTGCTCTCGTCCAGTAGTGCAAATGGTAGAGAGTTGGTTATGATTTCATTCCCTCGTCGAGTTCAACAGCAACTAATTACTGAGTCCTTTTGCCAGGTACCAGGCACTGTGCTAGGTGCTAGGAATACAGGGAAAAATAGACAAGGAAGCCTCATAAAGAGGTAAGGTGGCTCAGGTGGTCGGTAGGGCTGGTGACTGGGAACAACAGGAGGGGTCTCCTTAGGATTAGGGTGGTCAGAGGAGGCCTTCATGGGAGACTTACACTGAGGCAGGCAGTGTGAGAAGGAGCCAGCGATGGGGCAAGCCACAGAAAGGGATTCCCAGGCAATGGAAGCAGCAGCCCAGCAAGCTTGTGTTGAGGAAGGGCCTGGTGTGTTCTTAGGACAGATGGAAGCCGACATGATGCAGCACACGTGGGGATGATGTGGCCGTGGGAGGCAAGACCTGGGTCAGGCAGGTGCCTCCAGGCCGTGGTACAGAACTTGGATTTTATTCTCAGTTCAGTAAGAAAACACTGATTGATGCAGAGGAGAGACGTGATTTTGGATGCTTGGCCCAGGTTATTCCCACAGTGAGAGATGTCCAAGGCATGCCAGGGAGCATGGGTGAAACTCACATAGATAACCATTTTAAAGTGAACAAATCCTTGGCTTTTAGTATATTCACAATGTTGTGCAACCTCTACCTCTGTGTAATTCCAAAAGATTTTATCAACCCAAAAGGAAATCCTGTGCCCATTAAGCAGTGAGCATAGTAGTTTTTTGTCAAAGGGGCATAATGGCCTACCCTCTATTGGTGTTTATGTCAATTCATATGGTTCCCTGGACCACTGACAATGATAAGAGTAAGCAAAGGACAGATTGCCGTGGATTAGGGGAGCAATGTGAGGCCGAAAACCACACATTTGAGGAGTCTATACAGGATTAAAAATTCATGATCTTATCACAGCTAAATGCAATGTGCTACCTTGGATTAGATCCTCAAACAGAAAGAGGGTATTAATGAAAAAACTGGTGAAATCCAAATAAATAAAGGCTGGTTAGTGAGTACCCAGTGGTGTTTTCTTGGTTGTGACAAACGTACCATGATAATGAAAGATGTTAACAGTGGGGGGAACCAGCAACTGTCTGTGTCATCTTTGCAACTTTTCTGTAAATCTAAAACTGTTCCAAAATAAAAAGTTTATTTAACAAAGAAAATCACTGCCTTGACTTTTCTAACACTCCTTTCTTAGCCACCTGAGCTCCGTCAGAAACATGGTGGAGGAAATCACCTCCGTCCCTGGTTCTGGAGGCTGAAGGAAAGAAGCGTGTGGTCCTGCGTAGGCGTTAGTGCAGGGAACTAGTTAATCTTTCGTTCTTCTCTAAGTCACCACACCTGAGGTGCCACCTTGGTTGGCATGTGTGCCGCTCAGCCTTCAGTGCTGACTCTCCCGTGCTGATTGTTATCTCCCCCCAGCAGCTGGGTGAGAAGCATTCTAAGGAGGAAGAGCACTGCTCACGATCTGCATCTTGTTTTGCTTGAACAGTGAGAACATTAGAACCCCTGTTCTTTCCTTTAGCGGGTTCTTTCCTTCATGTCCTCTGTCTTGTTACGTGAGTAACCCTAATCCTTCATGAGGGCCCTGAGCGTTCCATCCCATAACCTGGTGGTTAGCAGTGGTCCAGTTTCCATTCCAGTACCTTTAACAAAGGAGGGACGTACACAGGATGGCCTTTGCGTATCTTCTTGTTTTTTTCAAAATATTTTTATAGTTTTGGGTCTTTTTTTTTGAGAATTTATTATTTATTCAAAGAAAAGCAACTTTACTGCAGTTCAGCCAGCTGCTCTGTTTAGCTGTCAGCCTCTTGTCTGTCTCTTCAGCAGTAGTAAGTCAGATGCCCTTTCCCCTGGGCCGGGAAATCCAAGTTTTATTTCCTTTGCCAATGACAAAATGTTGGAAAACCTCATGGCAAAGCTCTTGCCGTTGGCATCCTTCACACGCACCATGTGAAAAGAAACAGGATGTCTTTCCCTTTTGATGATCCCACCAGCACAGTCAAGGTTGGCCCCACGGTCACCATACACACATTGCCTTTGTCAAATTCGCCAGTCCCTAAGTCAGTCTGCACTGTGTCATTCACCTTGATGAGACGGTCTGGATAGCGGGTGGTACGAGCATCATGAGTCACCAGGAGTGGGATTCCCTTTATGCGACTTGTATTTTGCCTCTTCCGCTGTGATATGGTGAACAGCAAAACAGCCCCTGGTGTCATAGACCAGGTGGAAATGCTCACCTGTCTTCTCGATGCCGGTGACGTCCATGAAGCCAGCAGGGTATGTGACGTCCGCTCGAACCTTGCGGTCGATTCTGATGAAGCGCTGCGTACACATCTCCTTTACCTCATATCCAGTCAAGGAGTACTTGAATCTACTCCCGAGGAAGGTGATGGTGGGGAGACGTTCCCTCATCTTGTGGGGACCTGTCGATGGACGAGGTGAATGTACACCTGCTAGTCTGTCAAGCATCCAGTGCTTCAGCACCGTGCCACACTGCAAGTGCTTCTTGGGGCCCCTGGCAGTGACGAACCGCTTAAGGAAGACAGCCCATCCCCTCCCGGTGTGACATCTTCTGCCCAGTATTAAGTATTTTTTAAAGTAAGTGAAAAGTTTATTAGGAAGTTGTAGAATGTATAAAACAGGTTTGGTGAAGCATAGATTTAGAGACACTGCTATATTTTTATTCTCCCTCCCCTGAAATTAACCTGCAAAGCACTCGTATTTATTTAAGACTGCAAACACACACTGAAGCAGTGTTTAAAATTTGATACCAGTCTAGTTGGAGACATTTAGGAGTACCTGCCAATTCCTTCCTTACAGTTTACGGAACATGTTTGAAGCAGTAAAAATTGATGAATTCTAAGGGATGAGAATTTTATCTTGACTGGTGAGTGGCACATCGTCTGTATTTGTGCAGAACCCTTTCTGAGATTCTTTTATCATCTCTACCATCACCTATTTTTAACTAAATGGACTTGACCTCTGATATTGACCTGTACTAGATTAAAGAACCACAGTTGGGGACAGGCGATAGTGCTGTCTGATTAGAACCAAAGGCAGATAACGTTGAAGTCCTTTTCTTCATTTAGGGGAAGGTAAAAGTATTAGATTAAAGAGTCCTCTCTCTTCCCTGCTAAAACATTGTCTACTTGCTGTCAAAGGAAGGAATATATTGGAAAATAATGTAGTGCAGAAGTAAGCTTAATCCTTTATCAATAAAGCTTTCAACTAATAGTCACACAGAATGGGTTTAGTATTTTGTTAGAAAAGTCCGTTTTCGTATCATGGTGCTTGTGGGAGAGGGAGGTGGACAGAGGAAGAGTATGCGGTCCAGTGTCCTCAGGGCAGGGACTGACCATGCTTAATTCACTGTGTTCATTTCGGCCAGGTCAGTGGCCGGAGGGTAGATGTCCTGTGCCACAGCCAGGCCCTACCCTAAATGCACAGCTGGGACCTCTTTGTCTGTTGCAGATTCTGAAGGCCTGGTCCTGCGTACCGGCTGATGCTTAGCATTTCAAATTCAAAACACCAAAAAGGATTAGGGGCAACATTTCTAAACTCTGCTTTTTAGGATCAACTGTTTCTCAGAATCCTATTTTCTTCCTCTCCACCCTCTTAAATTTGGGGTGTTCTGATTGATGTTGCTTGTAGAATTTCCCAGAAAGACGCTTTTTGGGAGCACCATGATAAACATCCCTTTCCACCCCTCATCTGTCTGATTCCACCCTCCAGGTAGACCGGCCAGGGTGGGGTTAGTTATCAGCACCGTCTAGAAAAGCACAACC